CATTATACACTCATGATTCCCATCAATTGTGACAAAATTGTTTCAAAAGAGCTCTAATATCAATTTTTGAAGCTTCTTGAATTGTTAGGTATTTATCATTTTTATGACAAGCATTTCACCATTGTGCTGTTTTTCCACATCATACATCAATAATTATTAAATAAAATGTAAAGGAGATGATAGTGTGAAGCTTCTTGTTTTGCAAATAAAAATGTATTGTTGAAATTAATCTTGCAACCAACTAAAAGCCAGCATGAATAATCCTAAGCAGTCTATTGTTCATCATGATGAGAAGGGGGAAAACTATTAAGCTTAGCCAGTCTAAACACAGAGTATAATAAACCATTATCACATGATTCAGTGACACAATTTATAATATTTAGAATCTTTCACTTACATTTGATATGTATAGCATTATATGCATGTACTGATAAAAAGCATAATATTCTAAGTACAGCAAATTGCACACACCTTGCAAACCAATTCATAAAGAACTTCAAAGGGGACTGCTGAAATTGAGGTGTGTCTTGATTACATTAAACAAACAGCCCACCTACTTGACAACTGCTAGTGCAGTTTGCAAGGTCTATGCAAATAGCTGTACATGTACATGGTAGATAGTACTATAGTAGGCAAAAAATCTATTGTTAACTTTTTGAAAATTAAAATTCCTAAAAATTTGTTGGATAAAAAGTGAAACCTGGTCCAACAGGCCCAGTTTACATGCAGCCAACAAGAATAATTCTAAGTATGTTTATTACCAATATGTGTAATATACATCATGTTGAATCACAATAGATAATTATTCTGTCTGCAAAGTTTTGTGTTAGTAATTAATTACCTTGTTGTCCAGTCGGATCTTTTGAATCTAAAATACAGAGCATAATTGATAATCAATATTATTGTATATTTTGATAGTAAGTATGGCAGAAACCTATCATTAACTTTCTGGAAATTATAAATTATAAATTGGGTTTGCCAATGTTACATGCTCTGAAGTTTGAAACATGGCATACCACACCCATTATCTTATACTACATTTTACATTAAAATA